TTTATTTATCGGAATTTGAAAATCTTTCTTTATATACTTTTGTGAATTTTAGAATTTTCGATTCAAGGGTTTTTTAATCAAGATTAAATTAGCAGCAGCAAATATAATGATCATTTCTTAGAATAGCAACATTTTAACATATATTTTTATTTTAAAATTTAATTTAGAATATCATTTCTAGAAATAGAAACTTAAATAATATAATTTTTTATATTGTGCATAAAAAAATAACTCTATATTTAAATTTTTTATATTGTATATATATAAAAAAAAAAATAACTCTATATTTAATTTAGATTTTGCCAGATTCGGAGGTTGTTTAAAACCATGTTCGTTCACATGACTAACAACCAATCAAGTCATAAATTTTGATTCACCCAGAGTCCGACGAAACAAAAAACAAGAAAAAAAAACGTAAAAATATGAGAAACGAGTGTCTAAACCTACCTTGAGCATTAATATAAGATTTTGCCAGATTTGCCAAATTTATCACGGTAAAATATTTTATCTATTTTCAGCCAATTGAATAATATAAGATTTAGACTGGGGTTTTAGAGTGATTTTTTTTATATCATTGTAATAAAATATATATTTGTTCAGGTGATTGATTAAAAAATATTCGGTGTCAGGCATCTTCATGTTTTCGATATTATTTGTCTTGTCTTTACATTTGATATCTTCTGGTACTTCACATTCTTCTTCAGTGTGTTTGTTCAAAAAAAGAACACGTGCAAGTTTTGGTTGTCGCAATGTTTCGATTTTTAGAGAGAAATTCGTTCCATCAAAATCAATAATTTTCATGTCATGTGGGAAATTCAGTCTTAGCATATTTGTGTTATTTGTTATTTATTTTATGTCAAATTTTTTTTTTTAAAATCAAAAGTCAAAAACCGATTCAATTTATTTATAAAAAAATATTCATATTCATTTATGTAAGTTTTTATTATAAATTTCATATTTCTATGTACAGTAAGGCGAAATCTGTGGAATTGGTACATCAACAAGATCTCCATGATAAGTTACTTTAATAAATATATTTTGTAAATATTTATTAAATATAGACTCGCTTCAATGAAACTTATTAAATATTTATTAATATAGATGCGCTTCAATAAATTACACGTTAGTACGTAATGTAGATTTTTATATCTTATGTGCCAAGTTAATATAAATAAATTGTAGTTTATTTTAAACTATAGTTTACGATAAATTACAGTTTACATCTCTTCTGTCATAAAATTTTACTGAGTTAAGTCAAAATAAATTTATTTATAATTTTATTTATTTTATAAGAAATAAAAATAATTTTTACATTATAGACTACAATATAATTATTACATAAATATATCATCTATCTATAATTCATTTACATTATATCATTTAAAATATGATAATACGTTTGTTATAATGGAAATTTTACGGGTGATTGATTAAAATCAAATACATAAACTATCAAATATTATAAATTTGAAATCTATTTCCATAATTTGTCACACCACATAAAGGTTTTCCTTCAAATCTAAACAAATATCTATATCGATTATCAATTATAAAATATTGGGTAGTCATTGGAAAAATGTCCGCATTATTTGTTCTGTCTCGGCATGAAATTTCAACCGGAACGTCGATTAATTGATTAGTATTATTATTATAAAAATAAACTTGAGCACAACCAGGAAGATTGTTTAATACTACAAATCTCATTAAAAAATACAAATCCGAAAATGTGAGAACATTAATTCGAGGGGGTCGCAAATAAATAATTTGGTTCAGATAAACCATCCCAGCCTCTTTTCTAAATCCAAAATTCTTTTGGTAGTTTATTTGTTATTATTTTAAATTTTTATGTAAAAACAAGTTTGTCTATTGTTTTAAATTTTCAGGAACAGGTTTTGTTGGTTATTGTTTTTAAATTTCAGGTGAGGAACAGGTTTTGTTGGTTATTGTTTTTAATTTTCGGGACAAGTTTTCTCAGTTTTATAGATTTTATTGATGTATTATCAATAAGCATTTATTTAATTATTAGACTTTCTTTTACACTTTCTACGTATTTGTTTTGATTTTAAAGCATATCAATGGAATTTTTTAAAGCTCTATACATATTTAAGGAATGACTTATTTAGATAAAATTTTAACAAGTAAGTTTTATTCCGGTCGACTATTCAACTTGATAAAATGATTTTCAAATATATTTACAAAAATAGCATATTATTATAATCTTTTTATATCACTAAACTTTATGAATTTTCACACGAATCTGTAGTTATCAAAAATGTTCTGATAGAAAATCTTTTCTTGTAAATTAATTAAAATAATCCTTGCGATTCCCTATAATTTATTTAATATATTATTATTTTTAAAAATTTTTTTTTTAAGTTTAGGATGGATTTCGTTTCAAACTTGCATCGGCTTTTATACATGCAGAAGTTTTGAACCTAAAATCATTTCCTATTTTATCAAGTAATAATTCATTCATATTATCTTAAATAGGAATTGATTTGTTCAACAATAAAATCTATGACTTAACCATTTGTTTACGTAATTGACAAATTTTTGGATTTTGTACTTCAGGGGTTATACAGTTTTGAATCAAATCCTTTAACTATCAACAAATTAGATAAATGGCGTTAGGACAATTATTTCCTATATTTCATTCATATTGGTTTTAAATAGGAATGTATTTATATCAACAAAAATCAATGGTTTAACCAAATTTAGTAAAACATTTCGTGAAAAAATCGGATTGATTTGATTTACATAATTGATATTCAATAAAATTTTTTTGTTGTTTTTCTCGTTAATTTTTCACTTTCTCTTTTTCGCGTCAGTTTTTTGCAAGTTAGTATTTTCTTTTTATTATTTTTATAATATCTAGATGATTAATATACTAGTTAAGTTAAGAACTTATATGTTCTCTCAGCAAGATAACTTGGATCTTGTTCATTGAACAATGGATAGTGACTTTATGAGCGATCGTGCTCGTTACTATTCGCCTTTAACGTGCACATCGGTTTCTAAGTTTTAATGATGATAGAGTTTATTTTTTTTATTATATTTTTTGTTTGCAAACAAAATTAATAGCTATTATTTTTTTTTAGAATGGAAAACAGCTCCTTAGAGCAAAATATCGAGACGGTTATTTTTTCGCTTCTCGAAATAAAGAAGAAAATAAAAGAAACACCAAAAGAATCACCATGTCACGATTGCGAAAAACTAAAAGAAAAATGTAGAAATGCTTTTAAAAAATATAACAAAGGTCTATCT